TTTGAGAAGAGTTGTTATTCGATATAAGCTCTTGTCTGCAGCTCCTTACAAGTTACAACCGAAACAACAATATATTATCGGGTGGTTTATTTCGTCCATTCTGTATAACTAGTTCCCTAACTAATTCTTTCAGTTTTCTAGATTATTGTCAGAGGATTTAATGTTTCAATACTATTTGATTTAACAATCCCGTAACTTCTAGACGATGTCTTTAGTAGATAATCTGCAACATTTATGGATCTAAATTCCATCGCCAACTAGAGAGCTTTTTTCAAAGATGTACATCTACTTTGTTTCAACCTAATTCTTATGTCCCCCGTCTGTTATGGCATATGCAAATTGGTCACGTGCCAACGAATCCATAATTTTACGTTGCGAAGCCAGATAAAATAATTCTGTAAGCTTTTCCAAATATTTTGCAAGTTCCAATAAGGCCTTTTGTTATTCTTCTGTACCCTGTTTCGGAACTTTGTTCTAGATACTTGCTTTTGGAGTGTCACTCAAGCCTGTTGGATAAGACAGCTACCAATGCTCGATAGTTATTACAGCTCTCAACTGGAACGTTACTTATTGTTGTTAAAGCTGGTCTTTTGAAATGGCTAGTAAGATTATTAGCTTGTTGCCCACTATTACATCAAATCACTCTATAAATAATTTAGAATTGAGCCTGATATGTCTCCCATGGTAACTTTCCATCATAGTCTGTTGGTTTCTCGATTGGACGATGTTGTTGACCTGACCAGCTACATTTTGGATTTGGATTTGGTAATGACATAGGTGGAGTAGTTCACTCTGCCCACCACGGGTATCGAAACCCGGATGCTAGCGCGTAAGTCCGCAGACATACCGCTGTGCCACTGAGGGTTGGGAATTTAATAAAGAAGTTAAGAGAGAGAGAAGCATAATACTTAAAGAATTAAGAATAAGAATAAATCTCTTTCAAGACAAGTTCGACAAAACTATTGGAGACTTACAAAGGAATTACCACAATAGAATGGAAGAAGTACAGAAACACTGTAATAACAAAACTGAAGAAGTACAGAAAGCTTGTCATAACAAAACCGAAAAGTACAAAGAAAAATCAATGAGGTAGAAAATAACATCAGTAACAGAATAAAACATTTTAGTTAATGAATTAGTAAATGCAAAGATCAAGAGTCAGCATCCATCCAGGAATTCCCACCAAAGACATAATTTACTATAAAAAAACGAAATAGCAAAACCTACTTGGTCTACATTTGTTAACGCTGCTGCTGCATAACCTTTCCACAGATAGCCATTGTGTAGCTTTGTGCTTAACTTTAAACAAACAAACAATTAAATTCCCATCTCTTACCTCCTGATCATATTTGAATTTTTACAACTGTATTCTTCGTCATATTATATTTTTTTGTGAATTTCTTCTTGGTCTTTTAATTTCGACCTCTCACCTCCTTTTAAGTATTTCTTCATCAATATCTCGTTTCGTCATCTTGGATATGGGTTTAGTCAAAGTTCTAGATTATTTTCACAAAACAACAACAAAATCTCATCTCTGACACCTTCGTTGTAGCGTGTTCTGTAGTTGAGTAAGTTTTTTAGTTTATTTGTTAACGATAATGCTAAGTCATATATATATGTGTAATGCAACCAAAAGCAGCATTTTTGCAATTGACTCCGAAGGTAAGAAAAAAAATTCTCTCAAGATAACTTAGTTGATGAAAAAATTCATATGTGAAAATTAATTTTTTATCCTTACGTGGACTAGAATATATATATATATATATATATGAAATACAATAGATAATGATTGTTGAAGATAGAAGAAATCCTTCAGTTGAAAATTCCTTCAGGGTGGATTAATATCACCTGTACAAAATAATTCCATGAACGAAAATACCCGATGTTTTTGCCCACTCATTAGTAAGTACTATAGCTTGTTACCTTTGTCAACTCTTCAATGTAGGATAAAAGTGGTTTTTCTGAGCTATTTTAATATATTTTTAAAATAAACAATAATAAAAAATGCAGAGATCATGCCTCTTCATTTTATGAGATAACATTCTACAAAATAAAAGGTGTTAGTTGATGTTTTTAGCGCAAAGCTACACGATGGACCATCTGCGCTCTGTCCACCCTGGGAGATCGAGCCCCGGATTTTAGCACTGTAAGTCCGGAACTTAGGCTGAACCCCTAGGAACACATATAGAGAGTTCTAAATTATGTAAATTAATTTTGGGATAAGCAGGTAGAATTTGTGTTTTCTTAAAATACAGCTTCACAAGCGTTTTGTCAAAGACTGTAAAAAATCCATAAGCATTAGCTTTTCCTTGTTCATTTATTTCCTACCTCTGCTTCATTGGCGCATTCTAATTTCGATTTGAGACGTCTAAGAAAGTCTAAAAGGGCTATCTTTGATATACGAATATAATTCATATTGCGACTCCATTTTAAATACAATGTTATTTTTAGTCATTTTTACGCTGCCGTATACAGTACTCAGGTCTCACAACAGTAGAAAATAAAAATAAAGTACAATATTTTAGAATCAAATATTTTTCATAACTTGTAAAAATATTATTTTCTGGTCATAGCTTATACTTGTGCTTTTATTTAAGTTTATAATTTACATACCACATTAAAAAATAAAAACAAAAAAGGTTGAAACCTTACTTCAGTCCACTGTGTTCATAAAGAGTAGTTGTTTAGTCCATTGTGTGCTTATTCAGATGAACAAATAAACCTATTGGGTAGGTGATGGAGTTATGGTTTGCAATTCGGGATTGCAAACGATTTGACGAAATGAAATGGTTGTTTACCGAACTACATTTGTAACATTTGCATTTCCAGGGTTTAAGCGAATAACATATTAAACCTCAGAATGGTTGTTTGTTTATAGTTAAGCATAAAGCTACACAATGAGCTAACTGTACCCTTTCCCACCACGGGTATCGAAACCCGGTTTCTAGCGTTATAAGTCCGCAGACATATCGCGGTGCCACTAAGGGGCGCCCTAGAATGAATACAGCTGTCGAACATTTGCATTTCCAGTCATTCGTGGTCTCTCGTGATCATCTAATCTTGGACTAAACATTCAATAAGATACATTGCTAAAATTCCAATTGATATGATAATAATGATGATAAAAAACCAGGGAATAAACAACACGTCTTTCAATTTGTTTGATTAGTGCTTAATAAAAATCGGAACAATACAGATAAAAACGCTGGATCAAAACGAAATATCTCAACTGATACCTATGTATTTGGTTTTTATCACCGTGTATGAAGTGCATGCGCCATTTGTTTCATGCATTTTTTGTGATCCTCAAACACAAAAGAAATTATCAAAATAACCGATAGAAGTTGTAGAGAAAAGCGCAATATCAGCGATTCCTAATCTTCTCATGACCTTGTTTTCTTAATCACAAGTTTTCTTTTTATCATCACCTTGCGCACGATTTCTTTTATGCAACAAAGCTTCAAGATTATATCGAAAATCATCAACAACAGATTTTTATGAACCGTTTGCAACAACAAGATAAAGAACTTACTAACAGTAGACCAACCAAAAATGGTGAACCTAATAAAAATAATTATCAAAATAAAAGTTTTAAACTTATAAACAGTATCAAATGTTTTTATTTGATCAAGATCAGGCAGACGGACATAAACCTTCTGTGGTAAATTCTACGTTCCATACTTAGTTTAAAAAAATGTCTCTAAGATTTATATGGTTTGTTTCAGAATTTTTACGCAAAGCTATCCCTAATTTTGAACTGGTAAACTAGAGGGAAGGCAGCTAGTCAAAAGCACCTACTGCCATATCTTGGGGTACTTTTGGTGACCAAACAGTAGGATTTGATCGTTACTCTTATATCACACCTACGACTCCAAAATGCGGCAACGGATTACAAACTACAAATCCTGGGATACACAGTCCGAGCGTGCTTACCCAGATGAAGTTCTTTTTTTTTTCTTGACGAAGCTCTCTTTCAAATTTATCTTTAAATCAAAACACTTTGCAGCCAAAGCGTGTAAACAATAACAGCCATAGGTACTTTTTCTGTTTTGTTTGTTTTTTGTTTAGCTCAAAGTTATACAGCTGGCTATCTGTGTTTTATCCACCGTGGAAAATCGAACCGAGGATCTTTGAGTTGTAAGTCCGTAAACTTACCGCTGACCCACCGAAAGACATTACTTTTTCTCTAGCTATCGAAGAGTATTCTAAATTATTTATTATAAAGTTTACTACATCCATTAAAAAGTACCACCCAGATCTTTCCTTTTTTTTCCAGTAAGCTTTCTCTACAGTGTTGATACTTTAAAAACACAATATTTAAATATTTATAAATACCACAAAGTAACTGAAAGTCATATTATTTTTTTTAATCATATAACATTATTCAAATGATAAGAAGAAAAGACTGGGTCGAAAAAAGATGACTTTTTTGAAGTATTAGAGTTTCTTTGAGTCTCAGGATCAAATGTTTATTATAAGTTATACATCAGATAGCCCCCAATGGCACAGCGGTATGTCTGCGGACTTACAACGCTAGAAACCGGGTTTCGATACCCGTGGTGGGCAAAGCACAGATAGCCCTTGTGTACATAATTTAAACAAACAAACAAATACATCAGATATTTAAAATATTTAAATTGTGATGACTGAATCAGTTTAAAAACTTAACTATTTTAATTTTTCTGTTGTTCCATTGTGTAATATTAACATGAAAATAAAGTTTTTAGCTATGAAAACTATAGATTCAAGATATGATTAATTGACATGAAAATAGTAAAACTCGCGAGGTGTTTATAGTTGGATCACTCTTAATATTTTAGGTTTTTATTAATGTGAGTTTAATAAACATTATTTTAATACTAGACGTTTACAGGAAAAAGCGAAACTGAAACTGACGTAGTAAGTGTTCAAGCACTGAACACGTTGGGTTATATTTTCTTAAAATCAGCTTTTAAATGTAACTTTCTGTTTATAGTAATACACACTAAACTACAATCAAATTAACCATACTTATGTTTATTACGCATTTTATCCATTTTTTTAAACAGTCACAAATCATGATTTACGAACCACATCTACGCATATTGCATGATTGGTGAGGGTAACTTGTCACATAAATTTGATGTTTGTTCTTTTGATTGTTTGTAGCTAAGAACAAAGCTACACAATTGGCAATCTGTGGCCACCACGGGCATCGAAACCCGGTTTCTAAGGTTATAAATCCGCAGATTTAACACTGTGCCAGTGGAGGACTTGTTCTTTTAAAGAATGAAAGATGTTGAAACTGTTCAAAAGAGATTCCCTAACCACACTCCAAATTTTTCCTACATTACAAACATAATGAGGATAGCTATACTAAGGCTCATATTTTCTAATTTCCTGACGTACAATAATCGAACTTCGAATTCGTAAGTTTTAAACTGACTGGTAGTTATTACGAGCTTATGTAGCAATATTGTTAAATTCCGTCACGTTTCTTCGGGTACGACACTTAACACACTTTTATATTACTTACAATCATTCGTATTGTAAAAAAAAAATATTTGTATTGAAAAACAAAACAGTTTATGTTCTGGGAAACACAAGTCGGGTATTTCAATGGCTACAACACAACTCCAAATTCAAAATAACACAATCATTGTGGGCTAACAGATTGTTGATTGATGCACAATATTTGTGTTGAAATTTATAGAATATACATATACATAATAAAAATGTGACTTCCTAAAATAACAATGTATTTAAAAATACACGAATTTGAAATGAAAACTCTCGTCTTTTGTGTTTTCTAAAAACACAAATCCCATTACAAACTGCCACAACAATCAGTTGTGTTATAACTCACATAAGTTTGTGTTGTAACGAAATAATACATTGTTTGCGTCAAATGGTGCAACAACTTTTCTTTTTTAAGTACTTTCATGACTCATGTTGTATGCCTTGTTTCTGATTAATATAAATACTTTCTGGATACGTAAGGTTCTTGTCATGTTCAATACGCATGGTCTACGTTGACGTTTCGCCCTGTTAAAAAGCAGTAGTTTCTACGAGATTTGTATCAGGAATAAACGTGATATTTACGTTACCTTCTGAAATAGTTTTGCATTCTAGGTTTTCACCATTTTGAAAGCTACTTTTGGTGTTTGTTTCTGATTCAAACATCTCTCTCGCTTGATTTTGGTTCGTGTTAACTTCGTCCTTTTCTGGCAAGGGCGCTAAGTTGGAATTTGTGCGACTTCTGGAGGGTCTAATAAATGGTCCTTTCTTCTGATAATTTAGCGAATCAAGAAAAGTATTTGATTTAGGCACAACTGAAGTTTTTTCAGTTGAAGGGACAAACGACAGACTTATGGAGGGTTTTTCTCTTGTGACCACATTTTCTAGACTTCGTCGTTTTCTTGGCCGATAGCTGTGACGTCTGCCTTCTAGGGCCAGAATGGACTGCATGTTACTGGAATATAAGCCTGCTACGTTCAAAGAGGTAACAGTTGGCATCTCATGGAATCCGCGATGCGACACCACTCCTGCTATACTCAACGCGCGGTTTCGCTCTTGAAGCTCTTTCTTTGTTTCTGGAACGTAAAAAAATAGTCGAGTAAAGTTAGTAACTAACCATTAATACATTAACCATCGAAGAGGTCATATTAAGCAGATATTGAATGAATGCAGAAACTAATTCTAATAAGTCTTCACATTTAACTTTGTTATCCCTCTACGAGCTAGATCAAACAAGCATCAAAGTACCACGTATTACCATTATTTGGTGATCATATTTAACTGCGAATTAAGTCAAACAAGCATCAAAGTATAACGTTATTCCCATCAGTAGGTATTCATGTTTAACCCTGTTATCTTAAAGCTAGTATATTTTCAGCTTTTATGCAATTCGTTTGGTTTTTTTTTATTTTGAATTTCGCGCAAAGTTACACGAAGGTTATCTGCGCTAGTCTTCACCACCCACCGCCAATTTTTGAGCTACTCTTTTACCAACGAATAGCGGGATTGACGGTCACCCTATAACACCCCCACGGCTGAAAGGGCGAACATGTTGGTGGGACGGGAATTTGAACCCACGACCCTCAGATTGCGGGTCAAGCGCCCTAACCGCCTGCCAATGCTGGGCCCTTTAATGCAATTATCAAATAATCACTTCATCTTCCTGAGATATGTTGTTTACTGTTGTTGAATTTTCGCGTAAAGCTAATCTAGGGTTATTTTCTCTAGCTGTTTATAATTTTGAAGCAATAGACTAGAGAGAAGGCATTAGTCAACACCATCAACCGCCAACTCTTGGTTTACTCTTTACTAACGAATAGTTTGATTGATCGTCACATTATAATGCCCCCACAGCTGAAAGGGCGAGCATGTCCAGAGACGGGTTTCGATCTCACAACCCGCAGATTGCGAGTTGAACACCATAATGAACACAGGCCTTCCAACACGATTAAGGAAGTTAACTAGTTAGTGATATAGTATTTCAAGTATTACCTGGAGAGGCATCAGCTGCTTTAGTGGATCTAGGCAGTTTTCTCAAATAAAGAATATTTATCAGGAAATAGAAAACGCATAAAAAAACAGAAACGTAAGAATAAACACGGAAAGTTTTTCGAAATCCCCAGGCATCCGTCATGAATCCACCACTAAGACTTCCAAACGCCCTTCCTAGAGGAGAGAGACAATAGTTTAAAAATATATCTGTTATGTTTGATCACCCTATCACATGATATAGTCTATGAGCCTGGGTAACTGACCGGTAACATTTCGGGTGACAAAATAAAGCTCCAAATTATTTAAAATGATACCAGATTCTCTAGCAACAACCACTATCTTCCGTAATCTTGTATTTTATCATTTTAACACAAGTTGAGTTAAGCGGTTGTATTGTAATCATAATTCCAAAATATATTATCGTCATTTTGTTAACTGTTACATTGCAAATATCAAATAAGTATGGAAGGTGGCGAGAAAATAGGAAATATTCCTGGAAAATAGTTAAATACTGCATAAAACATAGAAAGGTAGTGGATCCAACCCAAAGTCTCATTTCATTGAAGGACATACGCTCCTGGAATACTTTGCTGAATGCAGCAAAAATCAGAAAACACGAACATATTCTAACAGTAGCTGCTCATGCTTCACAACATGGAAAACACGAACAGATTCTAACAGTAGCTGCTCATGCTTCACAACATGGAAAATACGAACAGATTTTAACAGTAGCTGCTCATGCTTCACAACATGGAAAACACGAACAGATTCTAACAGTAGCTGCTCATGCTTCACAACATGGAAAACACGAACAGGTTCTAACAGTAGCTGCTCATGCTTCACAACATGGAAAACACGAACAGATTCTAACAGTAGCTGCTCATGCTTCACAACATGGCCATGAATCTATAGTCATAAACAGTGAAGATGCAGATGTTTTTTCTGTTGTGTCTTGCATTATTTCTGCATCTATTGACTTGAAGTGTGAAACACAGAACTGTACACGTTATGTAGATATCACCACCCTTGTAAATGCTCATGGAAACGAAATCTGTAAAATTTGGCTATAGATGCATGCATTTACAGAACGTGAAACTGCAAATACCGTTGCTGGTTGAGAAAAATCAAAAACATTGAAACTTCTTTTGGATTCTACTGAATACTAAAAGGTGTTTCAACAATGAGATTTGTTTGTAAAGTTACAGTGTTACATTTGCAACGTGTATAATATTATTAAGTGCAACGCGAAAGATGTAAATGAGTTGCACTAACTAATGTTTTGTTCAAAAAAGGAGAGAGAACGATTAATCTACTTTGTCTCCTTGTGTTGGTAGTCTTTAGAAACATTGCTTGAGATCATAGCACTAGACTGACATCTATAAAAGGTGTTTATAACAACTTCCAGATACTCAGTCTCCTGATGGCCACGGATGGATTATTAAAGACTCGGATGTAATTGAGACTAATCGGATGGTTGGACTAACAGCTGTGTCCGTGAGTGCAAACAGCCTTTTTATGGGTGGCTCTCAAAAGGTTGAACTATTTGTTTGTGAATCTGTTTTCAGAAGAAAGATTTGCCGAGTTTGTATTGTTTTACATTTGAAAATGGCAAATGTAATGATTTCGATCAAATTGGATTTCAAAATATTACATTTCTGAGGCTTAACCTACTACTTACACAAGTCCACGCGTTAAAAATGTCGATTAAAGACATTGAACATCTTAAAAAGTTAAGGTAGAATTTGTCCCCTTTACTGGTACCAATAGGTCAATTTTCAGGGGCAGGCTCATGGACTAATAGTTAAGCTGTATCTTATTATATGAATTATTGAATGTTATTTAAAGAAAAGCATAAATTATATCACAGTAATCTCGTTGCACCTTATTCCTTAATTCTAACAAATCAATGCACGAATCTATAATTGCTGCTAATGCCTACACATTAGAAAAGTATTTTTGACATAAACAATGTTATTAATATTTTAAAGAAAATAGTTGTATTCTTCAAGAATTCTTTATCAGTGTAATGAATCACACTCGTAACTGAACTGGGAGTTAAAGAAAAACTCACCAGAAATGAAATGAAGGTTGTTCCAAAGGGTCATCATGGTTGTAAGCATCTCTAAAGGTGCTAGATGAGTGCAGTAGAGTGTAACACCAACTGTCAACAGTGTTACTGTAAAGTTCTCCATCGTCTCATAAATTAGACATAAATATGGATTGGTGGCGTATGAATATCCTAGAAACCTTATAGTATAAGCTGCGAAGGCTAAAACAAGGACGTTGACATAGCCTATTTTCTCAGTTATCCGCGAAGAATATATTGCCATGGGAACCCCAGTTCCTGCTCCAACAGTGAGAGTTAGTCCCATCAGCAGGGTGGAGGATTTTAGCTCACTCTCCAGAAACCAAAATAAAAAGTTTTCCAAAAACCCCAGGAAATCCCCAAGAAGAGAACATGAAATAACATAAGATCCACTTCAATGTTGCATATCAAAATCCATAAGTTTTTGAAAGCTCCCTCTGATGGGACCTTCATACTGAGGTCTACAAAGAGCGATACAATGGCTGCTGTGAGGTACAAAGCTGCATAAAGATAAAAACATGGAGAATAATTCTTAGCATTTTCATCTTCACTGATCCAGTCTACCAAACCTCCGCTAAGTGGAGCAAATGAGCACATGGCTACGGCTTGCCACATGCGCTGGTAGCCAACATCTGCATTGTACCTTTGTGTCACTGCCATCGAGGCTGCATCGAAGAGTCCATTCACGAGTCCGATTCCCAGTGACACACAAAGTCGAATAGACAAGTATATCCAGAAAGTTTTCATTGAATTTGTCTCACCATCACACAAGTTCTCATTTTCTTGAGCCTTTATTTCACAAATAGTTAAACAGCTTGATGTATCCCCCTCTTTAGACTCTGGTATACACATAATTCTTTCATAAAAATTCCTTCGTACGAAAAGTTGTTTGAAAGAGTGTAAGATATTAAAACAGTGTTGTTTTCATTATCTTGTAATGAAGTAGCATTCAAGTTGAATATATGAAACACAGTGCTTTCATTTTTGCTAACACAATTCCGTTGTTTTATATTGTCGTTTTCAAAGCATAATTCACTATCAGAAATGATTCTCTTGTTCTCATCACAAACATATTGGCAATTTGAAAGCTCTACTGTCATTTCTTCCATATGTGCAGAGTTCTTAGGCGTACAAGAGTTACTCGTGTTAAGTCTGACAATATTTGGAATGTTCGGATCTGAGTGGCAATTTAATTCTAATATGACATCCTGAAAACTTCTCTCCACAGGAGGTGTGAAGTAAAGTCCAAGACACGAGAGAGCTGAAAAGGTAAGGAAAAAACAAAACAGTGTTTTGAAGTTCCCGATCCGATCAGCCAGAACTCCGATTAAAGGTGCCACGAACAAGGCCACTAGAGGCTGGACGGCAAAGATTATAGCAGTTTCCCGGATTGACATGCCGAGAGATTTAAGATGCACTGTAAAGTAGGGGTACAGCGTAGCCTGTCCTGTTAATAAAGAATAAGTCCAGTAAAAAACGTTCATATCAATCAAAATAAATTGAGAATATAAAACTGAGGAACGTAATAACAAATATGACGAGAATTTCCTATTCATACGTTGGTTATTAATCTAAAACATAATAGGGAAACAAAACTGGAACAAAACTACTTATTTACTAATATCTGATCATGAAGGTAACTTTTTAATGGAATAATATGATAAGTTTTAGTTACATTGTATTAAAACAAATGAAAGAATATCAAGAAGTGAAGATAGCAAATAGGGTTCATTCTTGCAAAAAAAAAAAACACTTAACATCTTTAATATGTAAAAATACATATTTGTACTTAATATCGAGTATTTAACGATTTAATCAGCAATAGTTTGGATTGGGCAAAGATGGGTTTTGTTTGTTATATGTATACACCCACCTCCTCCATTGTGTGGTATTCTTTAGTTTGATGTTCCAGCGTTTCTACGCATGGTATACCTGTTTCCTCAACTGCTGAGTACACTTTAAACTAATACAACGAATAAAATATAACAAAACTATTCGAAAAGAATATTGATTCTATTTTCCTTACCTCCATAAATGAGGAACATCAATATCTTGACAGGAATCAACTCTTTACGAGTAAGATCTTGCCAAAAAGACTTCATGACTTAACCGAATCAAAATGGAGTAAATATAAACCGAGGTTCTCGTAACATGGATTCAGAAAATGACGTCCAGGTGTTAAAGTCTTATGATCATGTATTAAAGATGTATAAATCACTAACACGTTTACACAGATGCATATAAATAACAGCTACAGTAATGTGCTCTTTACCTCACAGGGACAAGATTTAAGGGGGAAAGACGTAAAATACGAGTTGTTCTTGAACTTTGGAAGAGAGATAAGTGTCAATAAGAAGTTGATAAAAAAATGTGACCTTAACCAACTCACACAAACAATATAGGTAAACAGGTTCTCTTTATACAATGGATATCGTTTTATAGTAGCTGATATATACTTTTTTGTTTTTCTTTATACAATTTAGTATGAGAACATTGAAAGGGATAATACCTTGTTTGAGATTTTATTTCGATACGATTTGGCTTCTTTGGAAGTTATAGTAATATATGGTCTCTTTTTCTTTGATCAGAAATTGTTGTTTTTAATCTGATGAAAAAAGTTTGATCAATATATTAAGAGTATTGACGGGATAAAAGTATTTTAAATAATGTTTAACAATCTAACTTCACATAATGCTTAAAAGTAAAGCTATTGACAAATTATGGTATCTGACCGCTAACTTTGAATGAAAAGAATAATCCATAGATTAATGTGAAGGTCAAATCACAGAGTACGTTGTCAGAATATCAAATGGGTTGGAGAGATTCCAAGGCCAAATGCGGTTTATGTGGATTGGTTCCAAATCTAGATACTCTAGCTTAAGGCCAAAAACTGTCGATATGTCCTTCTACACCTATAACATCCACGATTCGATTCCACGCGGTGGACAGAGCGCATACATTCCATTGTGAAGGTTTGCGCTAAACTAAAACCAATACAAAACAAAACACATACACATACAACACAACAACTTTCAGGGAAATCTTCAGAAATTGTGCTTGCACTTCCAGAAACTGGGTCAGTGCAGTATCATAAGTCATAATAATCATGATTTGTAAGTCTGAAAAATATACTATAATTATATATATGAGGTTTTTAATGTAACTAAGTAAATGAAAATAAACTGGAAGTTTTTAACTTCAGTTTATAATACTAAGAAACTTTAGTCAGAACCTTCTAAATGTTTTCCATGTGAATATATTTCTAATTTTATATGTTTATGTCACGAACTGGATGAATGTCGAATAAACAAGTGACACTAACACATAATGTGTTGCCAATTACACTTTATGTAAATGATTAACTTATCACAAAGAAAATTAATAATATTCGAGTATCTTTTAAATGATATAAGCACATTTTTAATTAACATCATTTGCCAATATTGCAAATGTTATTCTAGATTCGGATCACGTAAAAATTTTATGAAGTCATTTTGAGCAGAAAAACTGATATTACATACTATTATATCAGTTTTGTTGCATGTAACTGGGCATATAAAGTCAATAAATCAAATGTCTTTAGACTTGTAGGAGTTGATACAAATGTATTGCCACTGGAACAATATATATGTAGTAGGGGCGCTGAAAACATCGAACAAAAGCGAAACTCCTGTACACGACAGAAACCACGTCAAGCCAGGGGGTACACCCACACCCTCTGTACCTCTAGTTCCAGCGTCCTTGTACAAATCCCAATTATTGTTTAACTAGTATATCTATTAGCTTCACATAGGTAGTATTAGCATTTCATACTGAACTGTTGAAACTCTTCACTTGTCGTTTTTGATTGTCTGTTTGCTGTTAAGCATAAAGTTATAGAATGTGCTTTCTATGCTGTGCCCACCACAAGTATCGAAACCCGGTTTTTTAGCGATGTGAGCCCTCAGACTTGACACTGAGCCACTGGAGGACTACTCTAGTCGTTTTTAGGTAGAATCGGAATTTAATATTATCTGTAATTAATCCAAAGATAGTACCAGTTTTGTGTTTGTTTGTTTGAAGTTAAGCACAAAGCTACATAATGGGCTATCTGTGCTCTGCCCATTACGGGTATCGAAACCCCGTTTCTAGCGTTGTAAGTCCGCAGACATACCGCTGTGCTGCTGGGGGGCGGCCAGTTTTGTGACTTAGAACTTCTCCTCAGCAATGAGAAAGTTAAAATATTTATAAACTAGAAAATGACTGCCAAAAGGAAACTCATAATAATTTAAAAATAAAATATCACAAAATATAAATTACAAGAATGAAGAAAACCTTAAAACGCAGACTAAAAAAGATCCTAATATATAAATGTTTTTTTAAAATACAAAAAATAAGTTTAAAGCTCTATTTCAAGCATTCCAAGGACTAGAAATAAAGAGTTTTTGCAGTTAAGATATGTGTGTTTTATTATTCTAACACATGCTTCGACTTCCATCCCTATTAGCTATAAATCGTAAAAGACACTGCGTAAGCTGACAAAAATTCATCAGTGAACTAAGGTCTGACCTTTCAAAATAGTGTCAGGTCAGGCTAGATAACAATATTTTTGCTAACATACTTGGTCGAAATAAATTGATATCTAATAGATATTTGTGCTTTCAATAAATCATAATACATTTTATTTATGTGGATTGCTTAAATATTAGTCATCTGATGAGTCAGTGATAAGTTTATAGACTTACAACGCTAAAATCCGGGGTTAGAATCATGATAGGCTATAGTGTAGATATCCATTTATGTATCTTTGTGCTAAAACAACGACGGATATCATAAACCTAACTATAATATTCAATAAATAAGGATTTGAATCAACAGCTATCTCTACCATACTCTACCTGTTGGCTGACTGATCTAACAGGCACCAAGCACTGTTTTCTTGTGTCAGAAACTCGAGAGTTTATTGCTATTCTTAAAAATGTGTTGGGACCTGGGAGTGAAGATATCGAGAGATATTTTCCACCGATTTCATCCAGATTTTTGAAAGACTTGTAACAGATTTAGAGCAGATTTTATGCATAATTTGTCTTAGAATTTTAGGATAATTCTACATTGATGTTTACTCATTTTGCATATGGTTTGCTGTTACTAGGTTTCCACGGATTACTCAAAGATATTTCAATTAGATTAGTAAGAACTCTTAAAGTTCTTTACCTTCCTCTGTGGTAACAAGACCAATGTATTAATCTTGTATAGTTGTATTGGAGTTGCAAATTGTATGGGTGGTTGGATTTGCCCGTAAGTGTAGTTTATTGAATAACGGTGGGAGTTCACTTGTGTAAGATGGCTCTCTAGATTCTCGTTAACTTAAGGACACTCTCTCTTAGATTAAGATTCAGCTGTATGCTTGTCTAGGTTACAGGGTAAAAAACACGCTAGCAAGGACTTTTGATTTAATGAAGTGTTTGATGTTCTCGCTACCACCATGTTCTTTTTTTTTACATCTACCCAATCACTTGCCCTGTTATAATCTCTGGTATTACCTTGAATTGTGTAATAGGGTGTCGTTGTTTGTATTATAAACTGTAGTAACTTTCATTAAATATTTGTATTCTCTGTGAAATCTGTGCCTTGTCTCATTCTTTATGGTCCAACTGTCACGCCCATTGAGAAATAAATATCTAAATACGAGATCTTCGAGTCTTCTGTTATTTACAAGCCTACCTTCTGTACTCTGTGGGCAATTCTCGAGATACCACAGGCTTACCTGTTGTATTGAAGAAGAAAATTGTTATATATATTAAAGAAATATAAGCTTCTTTGTTTGTAGTTAAGTACAAAGTTAAACAATGGGCTATCTGTGCTCTGCCCTACACGGGTATCAAAACCCGGATTCTAGCGTTGCAAGTCCGCAGACATACCACTGTGCCACTCGGGGGCGAAATATAAGTTAATACTGAAACATTTTTAGGAATGAAAATAACGTTTAAAGAAACTATAAAACAATTCCTATATCTGTGATCCATACCTAAGTCATCTAAAATTCACATTAAATGCCGTTGTTCTTCCCTGAAGGAGCTACTACATCTAATCATATTCTCATGAAATTATAAGTTACTTCTCACACCACTTTATTCATTTTACAATAAAGTACGTAGTTGATAACCTGCTCTATCCAATGATATTTAAACTTTGGCTGTAGCTGTTTTCAAAGCTGTCCTTCATCAGTAGTTTTTTCACCCGTTTATGGCTTCGCAGCTTGTGAAGTAAACTGAAACCTATAATAACGAATTGTCAGACAGAGAATGAAAATCATTAGAAACAAAACTTGGTTAATGGTATTCTCAAGGGATGATAGTTTATTAACAAATAAAAACTAAGCTTTGGGATAGGTAGAAAAAATATTTAAAAGTCTAGAAGTGTATTGCTTGCACGTGAGTCTTAAGGTTTGTGCAGACATTAAGTAAATGTTACAAAATAAAAATATATCCGGTATAAAATGTATTTGATCAAAAAGTGTTAACATAGAAGTAGAATTTTGATTCTTTACATAAATTTTGAAATTTGATATATATACATGTGTACTCCACACCTGAAAAGTGCCCGCTGTTATAATACAGTTAACCAACCCATACATACAATATGCAACATCTCCACTGAGCAGTTGAGCCGGATAAACCAGTGCTACAGGTGCTACAGCACTGGTACTGAAAATTTTAGTGATGCTATCATAGCCAATAGCACCACCAAAAACTGTCTGTTTCCCCAACTATTTTCCTGTCTATATTAAAGAAAAAAACAGTAAAATAGTTAGCAATAAGATAGTTTGGGAAAAGAATACGTCACCAAATCAGTGACAGCCTATCAGGGTACAGAGCAGTCTCACGCTTTTTGTTAATTGGAGCGTTTAGTTTTGCTGGGAGCTAACGGTTTATTCAATGTCAGAAATACCAAAACTGAGTCAATTAAAATGTAATATATGTTTTAGTATTATGAACCAACTGTTGGTATAGTTTTTCATAACGAATTGTATGTTGAAAGGTTCCAGTAATATGACAACGGGATCATTTTAAAATGTACTCATATAGGAAATTCATAACATGTAATGTTGCCAGTGTTTTTATTTTGTCTGACGTGCACTTTAGTTCTAAAATAATATGTTGCATGCAGTTAGCTTTTAGAAAGGACTGTGGTTGTTATCCTGGTATATAATACAGTTAACTTGAGCAACGGGACTATCCCCACCCCCATCCTTTCGTTTTAAGCTTCAGCACCAGTAAGTTTAACAAGGTTCCATGGCTCCTATGCCTCTGACCAACTAACATGCTTTCCACAACTACTCAT